TTATTATTATTATTATTATTATTATTATTATTATTATTATTATTATTATTATTATTATTATTATTATTATTATTATTATCATCATCATTATCATCATTATCATTATTATCATTATTATCATTAATATTGAAAAGGGGATGCAGTGGGAAGGTATCTACACGCGAAAGGAAGCGGAGGCCCCCAGTATTCGCGAAGTGTTGAGTTGAATAAAAGGATTATGTCTTGATCAACTTGATGTTGAAACCGATACTCAGCAAGACTATTAATTATTCTTTTAAAAAACTACCTCTTTTGTGTTATAAATATCTTCAAAACATTAAGATTTAACATTAAATTGGTAGTGCTTCCAAGTCCTTTCTTCGAATAATGGTGACTTGCAAGACGAATTCTTGCCCCAATGAATAAGGCATAAACTCACAGATGAACTTGTCATTTTCTTGAACAAGGTTCCATTTACATAACCTTCACCATCCTCCATACAACCATGTTCGCCCATCATTCCATGTCTTTACATATGTGTTCCATTTTCTACCTTTCTTATCACACAGGATCACATTTGCAGGCAATTCAATATTTGATCTCTAATGACTTCAATCAGAATATACTGCAAATTAAATTAAAATTACGTAATTGAGATCGAAACAAGATCGACATGCCAACAAACATAGCTTCCACTCATGCATTAACTTAAGAATAAATATAATGCAATGTGTAGAATAATTACCAGATCGCCGGATCTTTTTGACCTGATTTTGGTCACGAAATAAGGATTTTAAGGTTGAGCGAAACGTCCTGAGCTGAAAAGCTCGACTCCAAAATGATCATGAACATCCTTCTTTTTTATCACTGACATTTTTTATCTTTTCACTAGCATCCCTTTTCTTTGCCCTAGTATCGTTTTTCGAAAAACCAACATTCCATTTTTTAGGACTAGCATCCCTTTTTTTCAGGCTAGCAGCTTTCTTAAATCCACCTAAATTAAGAAAACTCTGTGAATACTATATGAAACATATGACAAAATGAAAATTAAAGAGAAAATCAGGAGAAACTAATAACTTACGTTCAGTAATGCATCTTTTTCTCTTGGAACGCGACGTATGATATACAGTTGACAAATGTTGAATAATAATTATATAGGGATTAGATCAGGTGCGAAGATAACATCCCATGCGGAAGTGCAGATAACACAAAAGGATGCACCTAACATTAAACATTAAAATGGGACACCTTAAGTGCACAAACCACGCACCTTAAGCACACAAACAAAGCACCATATGAACACAAACCATGCACCTAAAATTTTAAAATGACTCGCCTTACGTTACAACAAATGACGCACTAAAATCATACACACACACCTTATGGAGTAAAACCACACACTTAAAGCTTTAGACAGACGCACCTTAAGAAGGCAAACAACACATCTTAAGAAGAAAAAATCGAAACTGAAAAAAAATTAAACTCAAAATTTCAAAACACCCACTCCTAAAATTTAAATTTTCCCAAGAATAATTTATCTGAATTTCTAAATGATATCGAACCTATTTCTGGTAATGTATATTCTTAGGATAGCAATTTTACGGAATAAAAAACAAATTCACGTTATTCGATCTTCTCGCATACATTGAGTAAGAATAATTGATTATTGATTAGAACTCCTTCTTCTCGCTTCAATAGAGTAAGAATAATTGATTTGGATTTCTAAATGATACTGAGCCTATTTATCGTAACGGATATTGTAGATTATAGTAATCTCAATTAATAAAAAGTAAATTCACTTGATTTCGGATAAAAGTAAAAGCTAAGTAATAATTATACAGTTGAAAAATGTTGAACAATAATTATATAGTGATAAGATTATATGCGAAGATAACTTCGCATGGGGAAGTGCATATAACACAAAAGGACGCACCTAACATTAAGAATCAAAATGGCTCACCAAAAGTGCACAAACCACGCACCTTAAGCACACAAACAAAGCACCATAAGAACACAAACCATTCGCCTAAAATTTTAAAATGACTCACCTTTAAGTATCAACAAATGACGCACGTTAATCATACAAATCACACACCATAAGAAGTAAAACCACACACCTAGAGCTTTAGATAGACACGCCTTAAGTTTCAACAACTGACGCACCTTAAGGACACAAACCACGCACCTTAAGAAGGTAAACAACACTTCTTAAGAAGTAAAAATCGAAATCCAAAAAAAAAAATTGAACTGAAAATCGAAACCCCTACTCTTAAAATTTCAATTTCCAAAGAATAATTTATCTGAATTTCTAAATGATATCGAACCTATTTATGGTAACATATGTTCTAATGATAGCAATTTTACTCAATAAAAAACAAATTCACGTGATTTTCTCGCTTCAGTTGAGTAAGAATAATAATTGATTATAGATCAGAACTCCTTCTTCTCGCTTCAATTGTGTAATAATAATTGATTTGGATTTCTAAATGATATTGAGCCTATTTATTCTTCCACATAGTGAGCCTATTTATCGTAATGGATACAGTAGATTATAGTAATCTCATTCAATAAAAAGTAAATTCATGTGATTCTGGATAAAAGCAAAAGCTATGTTATAATTATACAGTTGACAAATGTTGAGTAATAATTATATAGGGATTAGATCAGGTGCGAAGATAACTTCCCATGCGGAAGTGCAGATAACACAAAAGGACGCACCTATCATTAAGCATTAAAATGGTGCACCTTAAATGCAGAAACCACGCACCTTAAGCACACAAACAATGCACCATAAGAACACAAACCATGAACCTAAAATATAAGAATGACTCAGCTTAAGTTTCAACAAATGACACACTTTAATCATACAAATCACACACGCACCTTAAATTTCAACAATTGAAGCACCTTAAGCACACAGACCACGCACCTTAAGAAGGCAAACAACACATCTTATGAAGTAAAAATTGAAATCGAAAAATATTGAACTGAGAATCGAAACACCCACTCCAAAAATTTAAATTTCCTAAGAATAATTTATCAGAATTTCTAAATGATATCGAACCTATTTATGGTAACGTATATTCTAATGATAGCAATTTTACTCAATAAAAAACAAATTCACGTGATTCTTCTCGATTCAATGAGTAAGAATAATTGATTATAGATCAGAACTCCTTCTTCTCGCTTCAATTGAGTAAGAATAATTGATTTGGATTTCAAAATGATATTGAGCCTATTTATTCTTCCACATAGTGAGCCTATTTATCGTAATGGATACAGTAGATTATAGTAATCTCATTCAATAAAAAGTAAATTCATGTGATTCTGGATAAAAGCAAAAGCTACGTTATAATTACACAGTTGACAAATGTTGAGTAATAATTATATAGGGATTCGATCAGGTGCGAAGATAACTTCCCATGCGGAAGTGCAGATAACACAAAAGGACGCACCTATCATTAAGCATTAAAATGGTGCACCTTAAATGCACAAACCACGCCCCTTAAGCACACAAACAAAGCACCATATGAACACAAACCATGAACCTAAAATATAAAAATGACTGAGCTTAAGTTTCAACAAATGACACACTTTAATCAAACAAATCACACACGCACCTTAAATTTCAACAATTGAAGCACCTTAAGCACACAGACCATGCACCTTAAGAAGGCAAGCAACACATCTTATGAAGTAAAAATTGAAATCGAAAAAAGTTGAACTGAAAATCGAAACACCCACTCCAAAAATTTAAATTTCCTAAGAATAATTTATCAGAATTTCTAAATGATATCGAACCTATTTATGGTAACGTATATTCTAATGATAGCAATTTTACTCAATATAAAACAAATTCACGTGATTCATCTCGATTCAATGAGTAAGAATAATTGATTATAGATCAGAACTCCTTCTTCTCGCTTCAATTGAGTAAGAATAATTGATTTGGATTTCAAAATGATATTGAGCCTATTATCGTAACGGATACTATAGATTATAGTAATCTCATTCAATAAAAAGTAAATTCAAATGATACTGGATAAAAGTAAAAGCTAAGTAATAATGATATAGTTGACAAATGTTAAATAATAATTATATAGGGATTAGATCAGGTGCAAGGATAACTTCCACTACGGAATTGCAGATAACACAAAAGGACGCACCTAACATTAAGCATTAAAATGGCGCACCTTAAGTGCACAAACCACACACCTTGAACACACAAACAAAGCCTTATAAGAACACAAACCATGCACCTAAAATTTTAAAATGACTCACCTTAAGTTTCAACATATGACGCACTTTAATCATACAAATCACATACCGTAAAGAAGTAAAACCACACATCTAAAGCTGTAGACATGCGCGCCTTATGTTTCAACAACTGACGCACCTTAATCACACAAACCATGCACCTTAAGAAGGCAAACAACACATCTTAAGAAGTAAAAATCGAACTCGAAAAAAAATTGAACTGAAAATCGAAACACCCACTTCTAAAATTTAAATTTCCCAAGAATAATTTATCTGAATTTCCAAATTATATCGAACCTATTTATGGTAACGTACGTTCTAATGATACCAATTTTACTCAATAAAAAAACAAATTCACGTGATTCTTGTCTAGAACTTATCTTTGCTATTATTAAAAATAAAATGCTCCACTGTGTTTTCCCGCCCAAACTCTTCGACCCAAACAATTAATAATTAATAATTTATAATTTATTAATAAAGGAATAATAATAATAATAATAATAATAATAATAATGATAATATTATTATTATTGAAAAGGGGATGCAGTGGGAGGGTATCTACATGCCAAAGGAAGCGGAGGCCCTCAGTATTTGCGAAGTGTTGAGTTGAATGAAAGGATTATGTCTTGATCAACTTGATGTTGAAACCGATACTCAGCAAGACTATTAATTATTCTTTTAAAAAACTACCTCTTTTGTGTTATAAATGTCTTCAAACATTAAGATTTAACATTAAATTGGTAGTGCTTCCAAGTCGTTTCTTCGAATAATGGTGACCTGCAAGACGAATTCTTGCCCCAATGAAGAAGGCATAAACTCACAGATGCACTTGTCATTTTCTTGAACAAGGTTCCATTTACATAACCTTCGCCATCCTCCATACAACCATGTTCGCCCATCATTCCATGTCTTTACATATGTGTTCCATTTTTTACCTTTCTTATCACACAGGATCACATTTGCAGGCAATTCAATATTGTGATCTCTAATGACTTCAATCGGAATATACTGCAAATTAAATTAAAATTACGTAATTGAGATCGAAACAAGATCGACATGCCAACAAACATAGCTTCCACTCATGCATTAACTTAAGAATAAATATAATGCAATGTGTTGAATAATTACCAGATCGCCGGATCTTTTTGACCTGATTTTGGTCACGAAATAAGGATTTTTAGGTTGAGCGAAACGTCCTGAGCTGAAAAGCTCGACTCCAAAATGATCATGAACATCCTTCTTTTTTATCACTGACATTTTTTATCTTTTCACTAGCATCCCTTTTCTTTGCCCTAGCATCCTTTTTCGCAAGACCAACATTCCATTTTTCGGACTAGCATCCCTTTTTTTCAGGCTAGCAGCTTTCTTAAATCCACCTAAATTAAGAAAACTCTGTGAATACTATATGAAACATATGACAAAATGAAAATTAAAGAGAAAATCAAGAGAAACTAATAACTTACGTTCAGTAATGCATCTTTTTCTCTTGGAACGTGACGTATGATATACAGTTAACAAATGTTGAATAATAATTATATAGGGATTAGATCAGGTGCGAAGATAACATCCCATGCGGAAGTGCAGATAACACAAAAGGATGCACCTAACATTAAACATTAAACATTAAAATGGGACACCTTAAGTGCACAAACCACGCACCTTAAGCACACAAACAAAGCACCATATGAACACAAACCATGCACCTAAAATTTTAAAATGACTCGCCTTACGTTACAACAAATGACGCACTGAAATCATACACACACACCTTATGGAGTAAAACCACACACTTAAAGCTTTAGACAGACGCACCTCAAGTTTAAAAAACTGACGCACCTTAAGAAGGCAAACAACACATTTTAAGAAGAAAAAATCGAAACTGAAAAAAAATTAAACTCAAAATTTCAAAACACCCACTCCTAAAATTTAAATTTTCCCAAGAATAATTTATCTGAATTTCTAAATGATATCGAACCTATTTCTGGTAATGTATATTCTTAGGATAGCAATTTTACTCAATAAAAAACAAATTCACGTTATTCGATCTTCTCGCATACAATGAGTAAGAATAATTGATTATAGATTAGAACTCCTTCTTCTCGCTTCAATTGAGTAAGAATAATTGATTTGGATTTCTAAATGATACTGAGCCTATTTATCGTAACGGATATTGTAGATTATAGTAATCTCATTCAATAAAAAGTAAATTCACTTGATTTCGGATAAAAGTAAAAGCTAAGTAATAATTATACAGTTGAAAAATGTTGAAAAATAATTATATAGTGATAAGATCATATGCGAAGATAACTTCCCATGGGGAAGTGCAGATAACACAAAAGGACGCACCTAACATTAAGAATCAAAATGGCTCACCAAAAGTGCACAAACCACGCACCTTAAGCACACAAACAAAGCACCATAAGAACACAAACCATTCGCTTAAAATTTTAAAATGACTCACCTTTAAGTATCAACAAATGACGCACGTTAATCATACAAATCACACACCATAAAAAGTAAAACCACACACCTAGAGCTTTAGACAGACACGCCTTAAGTTTCAACAACTGACGCACCTTAAGGATACAAACCACGCACCTTAAGAAGGTAAACAACACTTCTTAAGAAGTAAAAATCGAAATCGAAAAAAAATTGAACTGAAAATCGAAACGCCTACTCTTAAAATTTCAATTTCCAAAGAATAATTTATCTGAATTTCTAAATGATATCGAACCTATTTATGGTAACATATGTTCTAATGATAGCAATTTTACTCAATAAAAAACAAATTCACGTGATTTTCTCGCTTCAGTTGAGTAAGAATAATTAATTATAGATCAGAACTCCTTCTTCTCGCTTCAATTGAGTAATAATAATTGATTTGGATTTCTAAATGATATTGAGCCTATTTATTCTTCCACATAGTGAGCCTATTTATCGTAATGGATACAGTAGATTATAGTAATCTCATTCAATAAAAAGTAAATTCATGTGATTCTGGATAAAAGCAAAAGCTATGTTATAATTATACAGTTGACAAATGTTGAGTAATAATTATATAGGGATTAGATCATGTGCGAAGATAACTTCCCATGCGGAAGTGCAAATAACACAAAAGGACGCACCTATCATTAAGCATTAAAATGGTGCACCTTAAATGCACAAACCACGCCCCTTAAGCACACAAACAAAGCACCATAAGAACACAAACCATGAACCTAAAATATAACCATGAACACAAACAAAGCCTAAGTCTGACAGCATCTTGAGTGACTCCATTTATCTTGAAAGCAAATCAAGTAAGGGAACTGAAACTTTCAAACTCTCAACAATCTCCAAAAACTTTTTCCACCTACTTTCTTTTGTTGTTTCAAGATTTTGAGGAAAAGCCAATGGGGGTACATACCTTCTCACAGGTTTCTCTACTTCCTTTTGAACTTGTGGATTATTTTGCACAGCAATTGGCTCATCTTCTATACCACCAAGTATCTCTTCAATCTTCTCCTCAACTGTCTTTTTAGGAATTGATTCTTTGATTGGAAGAGGTGGCTCTTCAAGTACTTTGCCACTCCTTGTAACAATTGCATTTACATGCTCCCTTGGATTTTCAGGCATAGCTGGCAACTTCCCTGTGACTTTAGTACTTGATATAAAAGGTTGATTTGCTAATTGCCTTTCAACCATATTTTGGCAAGCATCCATTTTATCCATCCTTTCTGTAATCTCTAACTGACCTTTAATCAATTTTTCCAACAATACTTCCGTATTCGATTGTGGTGGGGCCTCTGAAACGGGAAATTTAGATTGAACTTGAGTACCTTGAAAACCCAGAGGACCTCTATTAACAAAGTGTTGAGGGTTGGCAGCACCCATTGGGTTGCTCCATGAAAAGCCGGGATGGTTCCTTGAATTATTAGGGTGATAGGTCCCTTGAGGTTGGAAAGACTGTTGATGAGGCCTATTATATCCCAACATATTAACTTGCTCCATAGAGGTTTGGGAATTTAACTCGTCGATACAATCCCCTGACTTGTGTCCACCACTACAAAGTTCACACATCAAAACTCGTCCAAGAGTAGGAGGGTTAGAAACATGACTTACATTGTGATTTTGGATGGTGATTTGGGCAAGTTTTTGAACCATGGAGACCACATTATCCAACTTTGTTGACAAATCGGCTAATTGCCCCGCATCATGAATTCCTCCTACAAGCTTTTGTGGAGACCTCTCCGTGTACCAAGTAGATCCATTCATAGCAATTTTCTCCAATAGTTCCTCGGCTTGTGTTGGCTCTAGAATCGTGAACGAACCACCCGAAGAAGCATCCACCAAAATCCTAGAATTATCAAGCAATCCTTCATAGAAAGACATCATCAAATCCCAACTTTGAAATCCATGGCGTGGACATTGCCTCTTCAATTCCTTAAATCTCTCCCAAGACTCAGTGAGGGACTCAGTTGCCAGTTGCTTAAAGTTTTGAATTGCCCTTCTCATCCTTTGAGTTTTGGAGATAGGATAGAACTTCTTCAAAAATTCTCCATGTAATTTGTCCCAAGTGTCAAAATGGTTATCTGGATGAGAGGATAACCAATCTACAGCCCTGTCCTTCAGTGTAAAGGGAAAAAGCCTAAGTCTGACAGCATCTTGAGTGACTCCATTTATCTTGAAAGTGCCACAAAGTCTAGGAACTTGGTGGCGTGAGCATTGGGATCTTCCGTGGGCATCCCTCCAAATCGATCTGCCGCAGCCATGCTAAGTATGGCCGGATTGATCGCAAAGTTATTGGCCTCCACATTTGGAATATTGATGCTACCATGCTCCTCAACATCCGGAGCAAGGTAGTCAGACATTGATCTCTCTTCAGCTTGGTTTTCTTGTACCTGTGCCATCCTAGTTTGTTTCCTAAGAAACTTGGCTCTTTTCTCAATCTCAAGATTCAAAGGTAATAATCCTTCTTTCCCAAGAGATCGTGTATGCATAAAAAGCCAAGTTCTTAGATTCAAAGCAAAATCACACTCAAGAACAAGGAACTTGTTATGGATTAGCAAATAAAATAAATAAATAAAAAAAATGGACTAGACTCCTAAAGTAAGACTTTCACTAATGTCAGTACGTAACGCCACCTCCCCGGCAACGGCGCAAATTTGATTCCTGTAATTTGGGGCAAACAAATAATACCCGGGGTATTCGGGTTGTCGAACCACAGAGAGGTGGGGTACTAATCACTAGCTACTAGGTTACTCATATGAAACTAGTTCGAACAAATCTTGAAGGTTGATTGATTGCATAAAATAACAAGCAGAATAAAATAAGTAGCAAGGTTTTGTAGACAATAGAGCAAAATAGGATTCTTGGGGTCACAATGTTTAATCACCTAGTGCCAATTAACGTTTGTAATATTTGGTTTGGAATTAAGATTTGTATGGGAATGCAAAGTGGAATCGAATTACTCCCGTAATCTCTATTCCTAGTGAATTTCCACTCCCATGGCTTAAACACCCAATAAGATCAAAGATCAGCATTCAATTATTCCTAATTACTACCATCTCCCGATGAGCAATAATCTAGAATAAACTTCCCCTAATAAGTTCCCCTTTCCCAAGGACCAACCATTAGGTGCAATCGTGTGTGCCCTAATTTATGCCCCAACTCCCATTGGTGACACAAACATGACTGTGAAGCTAGTAATTTAGGCCTTTAACTACCAACAACAACAGATTAAAACAAGATTGCAACACAAATCATAAAACCAAACATAAATATATTAAGAAATTAACGAACTAGGCACATAGGTTCATAAACAAATTCACCCAAAAATCCTTAAAGAATTTAGCCGAGCATGGCTAAATTATACATAGCAAATATGAACAAAGGATTACAAATCATCAAAAGAGTACAAGAATTAACCAAGCGATTCTCCCAAATCTCCTTGGCTTCCTCCTTGCTTCCAAAGACAACTTGAGCCTCTTGATTTCTCTCTTTCTTGTCTACAAAGAACTCTAAAAATCTCTTGGTGTCTTATTAGGGTTGAGGAAGGGGGGATTTTATAGTGGGCACAAAGTTGAGATGAAATAGGAATCTTGTACAAAATTGGACTCAAATGATTTAATTTAGAAATTGTCGCCATTTTAATTAGGAAACATGTTACCAAATTATTTTAAAGAATGAAATCTTGTAGCTTTGAGACTTGCGCCACCTTAGGAATATAAATGTTGTATTAGGTTGCATGGAAGTCAACGCCCCATTCTTTAATTCAGCGCCTTTAATTTATTCGTACAGTTTGAATCTTCGTAATTAGCGTGCGTCCTTCTCGACGCGTCCAGCCTCTTTGGCACAGTTTTGTGATGCTACTGGAAATTTTTGACGCGTCGAGTTCACTGGGCCCCGAACTCGTCCAAAATTGCTCCAAACTCATCCTTGAACTCCCCTTGCTCATATCTTTGACCTAAAATGATTCAAAAACACTAACAAACACCGTAAAACATTCAAA